AATTTTTTTTTTTTTTTGAGACAGGGTCTCACTATGTAGTTGAGACAAGCTGGAACTCAGTATGTTGCCCAGGGTGGTCTCAAACTCACAGCAATCCTCCTAGATCAGATTCCCGAATACTGGGATTACAGGCATGTGCCACAACACCCAGCCTCAAAGGAGTAGTCTTAAGCCTTCAATCAAAAGACACACTGGCATATTGGATCAAAAAAACTCAACTACATGTTGCATCCATAAAGCACATTAAATTAAAGTCAAAAGATGGAAAACAATATTCTATGCAATGGGAGCCTGAAAAGAAGTAGGAGTAGCAAGTGGTATCATATTTTCAGACAAAAAAGACTCCCATGCCAAAACTGACCAAAAAGAGACAAAGAAGGTCACTATGTAGAAAGTATGAAAAATTCACAGAAAAAAGTAACAACCACAAATGTTTATGTTCACTGAATGCACACCCAACTTCACAAAGACCTAACAGATAAGGTAAACTTCCACACATTCACAGTTCACTTCAATATTCTACTATTGCAAATAGATCAATCATATTCTACCCAAATTTAACAAAGAAACATCACAGTTACACCACACAAACAAATGGACTTAACAGATTATCTAGTGTTCAAATGAACAGAATACATGTTTTTTTTAGCAACACACCAATATTATCCAAAGAAGACCACATCAGCCCATAAAGTAGCTTAAATGTCAAGAAAATGAAAATCTCATGAATATTTTTAAACTGCACCACAACTAACCTAAAAATTGACAGCAAAATCAGAAAGTGCACAGGCAGAGATCAAATTATATATTCTTGATCAATTAATGGGTCACAGAAGAAACCAAGGAGAAATTAGAAGGTCTTATACTCAACAGATGATGACAGTAAGACATACCTGAAACTATGGAACAAATGAAAGCATCTCTAAGAGAGAAGTTTATACTGGAAAATACTACATTTGAAAAATTGAGCAATCATAAATGCCCTAATGATGTACCTAGAAAAACATCTGCATTTTAAATCCAAAAGCTGAGCAAAGAAGGATATTATAAAGATCGGAAGGGAAATCAATGAACTGGAGACTAAAAATACATAAAAGGATCAATGAGGCTAAGTTGGCTCTTTGAAAGAATAAAAGAAACCTTGAGCCAACCTTATGAAAAGATAGGAAAACAAAACAAAAACACTAACAGTACAATTACAAATGAAAAAAAAAAAGAAATGGACATCTCTCAATTACACAAAATTTTATAAAATTTTATTTTAAAAGCTTTTATTACCACAAAATGGGCAAATTTCCAGACATTTAAATTAAGGAAATATAGAAACAGTAACAGGGAATAAGGTAATTAAAAAAAAAAAAAAAAACTACCAAGAGAGGCTCAGGATCTAATGGATTCAATGCTTAATTTTACCAGAACTTGAGGGAAGAAACATCACCAAAGTCATTACTTGAAGTAAGTATACTGTCCTGATACCAAAGCTGGATAAAGACTTAAAAAGAGAGAAAGCCAAATGCATTTACCTAATGAGCATAGATGTAAAAATCTTCAAAACGATACTTGCAATGAGAATACAACAAACTGTTAAAAAGATCATAATATGACCAAGTCGTTTATCATCTAAGGATGATGAATGCAATACATCATATAAGCAGAAGGACTTGTACACATCAACATGATCATCATAATAGATGGAGAAATGTATGACAAAATCCAATATCCACTCAAAAAATTTTTTTAAAAACTCTCAAAAAAAGTAAAGAAAGACTTTAAGCTGATAAAAGCACTTATAACAAACCTAGTATTACCATTGTACCAAAAAGGAGAAAACTAGAAGCATTCCCTCTATCAGGAACAAGACAAATATATGCAGTCTCACCACTTCTGTTCAAAAAGGCAGAGTGAAAATTCAAAAGAAAGGAATTCAAGTAGGAAAGGAAAAAGTCAAATTATCCTTAGTTACTGATGACATGATTCTGTATGTAATATGATCCAAAGAACTCCATTAGAAAATTCTCAGAATAAATGCAGCAAAGTCACACAATAAAAAATTAGCACAGAAGAATCCTTTACACCAGGAAGAAATAATACTAGCAAACAAGTCATTAAACCCATTCACAACAGCTTAAATAAAAAATACCTAGGCGTCAAATAAGGAAGAAGAAGACATGTATATTATAAGGAAAAGTATATCATTCTGAAAAAAGAGACTGAAGAGGACATTAGGAAATGAAAATACATTGGTTGGGCAGAATTAATACCATCAAAATGGACATATTATATAAAATGATATACAAATTTAATGCAATTCCAATCAAAATGCCATCAGCTTTTTTCACATTACTATAAATAACAGTTTTAAACTTGTATGGAACCAGAAGAGACCCAGAATAATCAAAGCGATCCTGAGCAACCAGAGATATGGACGAAGCATCACAATCCCAGACTGCCAGTTTTATTAAAAGGCTAAGTAGTAAAAGCAGAATGGCATGGCAGAAAACGACATGTACACTAATGGAAATAGGATGCAGAAACAATCTCAAGTCCCTTCATCCCACTTGACTTCTGCCAGTAATACACACTACAGAAAAGACAACCTCTTACTGAAATGACACTGAGAAAACCTAACCACAAAGATTAAATCTTAATCAATTCTCACCTTTTATTTAATTCAAATAAAAATGGATCAAAGATTTAGATAGAAAAATAGAAACACTGAGTCTGTTGGAATAAAAATTGGTAAAGTTCTTGTGGCATAGGCAAAGACAAGTTAAAAACTTTGTGATCTTAATGTCCAACTGCACAAGAAAATAACACCAACTATTAATAACATGTGACTGTATCAAGTAAAAAAGGTTTCTACCCAGCACAAGGATACAAGAGTAGAGACAATATATAGAATAAGAAAAAATTTTGTCAGCTACTCTTCATACAGAAGAGGTCCAATACTTACAATATAGAAATAACAAGGAAACCCCCAAAACAAGTAACCCCCCATTTTAATGTCCAGTTACTATTGCTGAAAATCTGTATTTCTAAAACTGACATTAAACTTTAAAACAGATAAAAGGATTCTTGCATAAAACTGAGTCATTGTAACTATCATTTCTGATTTTTCTTTTTTTTTTTTTCCTTCTTTGAGACAGGATTTCATTATGTAGTCAAAGCTATCCTCAAACTTCTCCTATTTACATCTAAGTTCTCGGATTATAAACAGCACATTATAAAACTATCCTTTAAAAAATGTAGTAATGAGCTAGACTTTAGATTTTAAAAATTCTAAAATGCAGAGGTGTTATGTTTCTGGAAATGAAGACTACATCTAATAATTACGTGTTGTGTGACAGTTTACTTATTTAGTATTTCTAAATCTTTTATGTCATTTTTTTTACATAGAAATAAAAGTAATGAGATTTCTCTGAAGTCAATGAGCACTAAGGGGAACAGAGTATTTGTTTTTAGAATTATTTTTTTAATTTACTTATTTTAGATTGGGTTTCATTAAGTTACTGAGTTGCCTAGGCTGGCTGACATTCTCAGTTCTCCTGCCTCATCCTCCCAAGTAGCTAAGAACACAAGTATGTGGCCTCTCCTCCTTTCATTTACTTCTTTCTCCTCATCCCCAACCCCATTTTTCCCCTTTCCTCCCAGAATGTCTTATACTCATAACTCTCCTGCCTTATTGTCCAAGTTCGGGGATTGCAGACCCAAGCATCATTTTTAACTAGCCAAGACACTTAAAATCAGATTGTTAAAAGTTTAAAATCACCAATCCCAGAAACATAACTGTCTATATAACTTCTCTCCCTTGAAGTTTTTCACCAAACATCACTGTATCAGTCACTTTCATCTCCCCTCTCTTTAATAACACAGTCGTGTTCCTTTCCTACCAAGAAAGAAAAAGAAATAAAAACCCAGAAGCAAGTAACTATAATATTTCACCACAACCATTATTCAAAAAGATCAAATACATTAATTACTTTATTTTCTACGTTTTTGCTTCAGTTTTTTTTTTTTTTCTTTTTAATACAGGGTCTCACTACATAGTCCCCACTGGCCTCAAACTCAAGGGATACTCATGCCTCCGACTCCACAGTGCTGACGTTACAGGCATGTACAGGCATGCCCTGCTTCAACTTTGCGTGAAAAAGACTACTTTTTATGGAGACAACATGTCTTATTGAGAAAGGCATTTAAAACATGAATTTAAAATGTGCTCAAAGAGCACTACTGATAGAAATTAAAATTATAACATTAATCAGACATCATTAATTTATAGATATATACAGGTAAAGTAAAAAGAAAAAATATTAACCTGTTTTAAAAAGGAGAAAAAGAAAAAGAAAAAATAGAATTAAGACATTTCTAGATAATCAAATGACAGAAATAAACTCTGCAATAGTGGTCTGACATAGATCAATGGAGTCTGACAGTACAAAATAAATTCATGCATTTATGGACACATAACTTTTCACAAGAATCTGAATATAATCCAGTGGGGCAACAAATTATTTCCTCACCAAATAATGCCAAGATCAAGATCACTCATAACAAAATCTTTGACTGTATTTGATTTATTGTTACCAGCATCTGACCCACTGCTTTACTCTCTTAAATTCATGTTTGTATATACAATCCTTTTTTGAAGTAAAGTAAATCAAAAAGTAGATCAACATGACTATATAAGAATGATTTAAATTTTTTAAAGAGAATGAGCCACAATCAAGTTTTGATAAGGAGGTAATACGCTTAGTACATCTTTCATGATTCCATAAACTTTCATTTTTCCCTTTATTTTCATTTCTCATTCCTTTTGCAGAAATTACTCTGTACTGTTTTTCCTAACTATGTAGCTTATCCAGTTTCTAAACTGAAACAAAATGAAAGTAAATTTATGAAATTCACTTTAATTTTACAGAAGCATAACTCAAAATTTCACCCTTACATTAAGAAAAACACACTTTAAAAAATGTGCCACTTTCTCAATAATCAAGACTTACAGGAAATCATAAGATAGTCCTCACAGCTGTTTTTGTCATCTTGCTGGTGAACAGAAATCCTACTGGCATCAACGATTGGTTCAGAGGCACAATCTGTTACCAATACTTCTTCTGAAACTGTATCATTCCTTAAAGGATCAGTTACAACTTCTGTTTCTACAACACTAGCATGGGCCACATATTCAGTATGTCCAATTGGTATAGATTCACTTGTCAAAACATGTTCTGGAACAGACATTGAGGTTGAAGTAATGCCAGAACCTAAAACATCATCTGGAACTGTGCAATGTGCTAAAGAAATCTCTTCAGTTACATCATCAGAATCAAACACTTGCTCAGGAATGATGACATTTTCAGATACATCTGTTTCCTCCAAGGTATCTGGGCACTGCACATCCTCTATAACAACATCTTCCATAACATCCTGAATTACAACTGAGTCTGGGTCATCAGGAATAAAGTTATGCACAGTTATGTTTGAATTAGAAACAAAAACAGCTTCTTGAACTTCTACTACAATTCGGTCACCATCCATATGTGTCCCATCAGCACCTTGAAAAATGAAAATTAAAATGATAATTTTTAGGTGAGTACACACAATATTCTCGAATTTGTACAAATGTTAATTAATCTGTACCAAACACACACACTACATTCTTAATGTTCATCAAACAATAAGACAGGTTAAAGAAATAAAGACTCTTTTTACTTCACTAAAGTAAAAAATTACATAACTTTTTAAGTCAACTAAAAGTGGGGAGGGGAATACAAAAACAAAAATCATGGGGCAATAACAGAAAAATACTAAAAAAATATATTCTGACTATAAACATAAAAAAATTCCCTCACCACTAAATTCTTGAGTGATGACTGTGCAAAATAAGCAAATACTACCACAAAACAAATATACCACTTTCTTATGTTTCATTTTTTTACTGCTTCACTTTTTTTGCCCTTCTGTGCCATCTCCCTTCTAATCATGTCAGTTTTCTTCTTTACATCACTCAATATATATGTTTCTTCTCTAAAATATTTCTATTTTGTGTGCAATATCCCACCAATATCTTCTATCTATGATGCTGGCAATGACTAAAGTCACTCTTTGAATCTAAGATAAAACAATCAGGGCAATAATGAAAAGGAGGACAGGTAGTCAAAGTTTAATAAGGAAAGGCACAGGGTGCAAAGCTAACTGGTTGAATAGGCAAAATGAATAAAAATGTTAACTGCTTTTGGTTGGTGCAAAGTAGGATTTCACCGTATTACTGTGCCTCTATCTATCTCTTCCTCCCACTTCCCTACACTCCAACTCTTAAGAACATAAAATGTTACAGCATGCCATCATAAAGTTAAAGGAAAGCAGAAATGTGAAACAGTGACAGTTTTCACAGAACAGTGTTCAGTAAATATTACTCTGAATGAATGTTACATGTGGAAACAATTCATGTACATTTACTATAATGTAAGATAAAGTACCCATAATGTAAAAAATAAGAGGCATGGAAAGACTGAGTTGAGAAAAAAGTAAAAATAGAGTTAGCATTACAAATTATCCAGCTGATTACTGTGTCTGGTGCTAATTCATCAGGCTGAGTCCAAGCAAGTTCCCAAAAAACTGTGTCAGTGGTTAGACCTCAAATAAACAAAAAGCTTCTTCCAACAAAAATGATTAACGTAGGCCAAATTATATTAAAAGCTGTAGAAAGTTAAAAACTAAACAATACATACATGAATTAAATGATATAATAAGGAATGCCTGTTTCTATTTTAATAAAATTTCTACAAAATGTTTTATACTGTCATCAATGTTCTTAATTCAAATGAAGCAACAAATTGATGTAATCGCCATTACCCAAACCTAATATTTGAAAATATTCAGTTAAAATAGTCAGAAAGCAATCCTGTACACTTAAGTTATATAACCTTAGGAAAGAAATGTAACCCCTAAAAATAAGGACAGTAGTATCCGCTGCACACCTCATTCCACTGCGGTGATGGTCAAATGCAAAGTATCCTGAAAATCTATGGGAAGTTTCATGCTTATTATGCATATAAAAATATAGCACCTGGCAGAGTAGGTGATTTGTCAAAGGTACATACTATGTTAACCACCTGTCTAAAATGTATAGTCCTTCAAAATCTAACACTTGCCCCCGACTGTGGCAAAACTAAGTTAATACCTGTTGAAATATTGTCCAAACATTTTTTTCTTTTAGCCATATTAAATCATTCTTTCCTCACCTACCATTCTCCGTCATTCAGACTAGTTTCAAATTTACTAAATTATCATAATTGTCCTGCCTCTCACATGCTAAGCTAAAAGGCATGTACCACCATGCCATCTTCTGTATATTTAAGAAAGAATTTTAATTTTGCTTTTCCAATTATCAAACAAATTAGAAAAGGTGAATCAAAAGAATATGCAAAATGGCTTAAGAAATATAATCACAGGGAATCCAAGAGTATATTAAAAATCCTGTAAATTTCTTGATAGCTATTATTATAAATGCAGGTCTCAGTTAAAATCAAAGGGTGCCTGAACTATAGAATGGGCAACAGAAAACAGAATGACATACTTTAAGGAAAAAAACAAACAATGAAGAAAACAGTTTGTATTACAGGTTAAGATAATGAAGCCATTTAGCAGGCTGCTGAAATGAACAAAGGCAGAATGATGAAACTTTCCTGATACCCCTTTCCAATCACACTATCCTTTGAAAAGATATCTACAATAAAATCACCAATTCCTTTTTAACAAACAACCCCCCCAAGATATAATATAATCACTAGATTCTGTAAATGTACTAAAATACAATTCATATGCAATCAATTTTGCCAGTGTGAGAATAAACCCAATATAATCAGAGGAACCTGAAAGCAGAAACCATTCTATACTGGAGATCTAAAAGATGAAAAAGGTGAAGTTGGACTTAAACATAGGAAGAACTTGATTCACTTTTTGCTGAAAAGATCCACATAAAAAGGAACAAGGAAGACAAAAGCTAGCTTCTCAGAAGACAGCAACTACAAGAAAATGCAGTCAGCTAACAACCTTAATGAATTTAAAATCAGAATCATTCTCATCATTCCAGGTACAAACAAAAACTGTACTGACACCTTGATTTTAGACCCATGAAACCCAAAGGAGATAATCCAACCATATGGGAATAAAGTCTCGCCTATGAAAATTGAGAATTAATTTTGTTGTTTTAAATTGCTATTTTTTGTGTGTGATAACCTTATGCAGTAATAAAAACTAATACAAATTTAGGTACTTGAGAGTAGCGTTACTATATAACTAAACTATGAAATGTTTTATAGATGTGTGGTGGGAAAAACTTAGACAGCTTTAGACCACAAGAAAACCATATATTCCCTTCAACAAAACAATCCTAGATTCCCCTAAAGATAATTAGAAGAAATATGTATGCTAAGAAGTCTGATAATAAGAATCAAGAAAGAAAAAAACATCAAAACAATCTTAAATGTACACAAATGTATATTACCACGAACAGACTGTTAGTAGAAATTCAAATTTTAGTAATACTGCTAATAATCCTCAAAAGGAAGAGATAACTATCAAACTGAAAATTTGTCAAATAAGATGCAGACCATTCACAAAACAGACTTCAGCAAGGTGTTGGGAGAAGTGGTCTTTTTATTTTCTTGCTGGTTATAGTTAAATTAAAAAAAAAAGAAGATAAATCATAGTCCGTTAAACAAAAGATAGCTGAAATTTGACAATCTGGACAATTACAGGAATGACACAAGGTGTAGAATTTCAAGTTAAATTTGCTTTTAGAAAGAATTTCTATAGAAACACAATTATGCTACTGTGTATTCTCTGAAACTTTAGGAAGATCAAAGAGATTCAGTTTCTGATGCAAGTAAAGAAGTTTATAGATACATTAAACAAGATGCTTCTGAGAAAGTTAAGGTATTGTCCAATCTCAATCATCTTCAGTAGAAATAAAAAGAGGCCAGACAGCAGATATAACAATTTCCAATATGAAACTATACTACACAGCCGCAGTAATACGAATAGCATGGTACTGGCAAAGAAGCAGACTGCAAGACACAAAAACAATTCCAGATGCACTCAGCTACATCATTTTTGACAAAGGAGCTGCCAGCCCCCACTGGAGGAAAGATAACCTCTTTAATAAATGGTGTTGGAAAAACTGGATCTCAACCTGCAAAAGTTTAAAACTAGAACCTTATCTGTCATCGTTCATTAAATTAAAATCCAAGTGGATTAAAAATCTAAACATAAAAACAAAAACACTAAACTTTCTAGAAGATAAGTTAGGCCGAACTCTGGAAGAAATTGGCATAGGAAAAGACTTTATGAACAAATCCTCAGTAGCACAGGAACTAGTAGAAAGAATCAACTCGGATTTCATCTTATTCAAAAGCTTCTGCACTGCAAAAGGAACCATCAACAGAACTAAGAGACAACCTACAATGTGGGAAAAACTTTTTACCAACTGCTCCTCAGACAAAGGATTATTATCTAAAATATATAGAGAACTCAAAACAACCAGCCCCTCCCCAAATATAAAGACCGAATTCTAAAATGGGCATCTGAAATGAAGACATTCTCCAGACAAAGAAATAAAAGCAGCAAGTAAATATATGAAAAAAATGCTCCACATCACTGGTCATTTCAGAGATGCAGATGAAAACAACACTGAGATTTCAACTCACACCACAAAGAATGGCTGCTATCAAGAAATCACACAATAACAAATGTTGGCGCAGTTGTGGGGAGAAAGGAACCCTTCTCCATTGTTGGTGGGAGTGCAGACTGGTGCAAACACTATGCAAGTCAATATGGAGATACCTCAAAGAACTAGGATTAGAGGTTCCATTTGACCCAACCATCCCTCTGTTGGGTATCTTTCCAAAAGAAGTGAAAGAATCATACCACAGTGATATATGCACACCCATCTTTACAGTGGCACAGTTTGTAATAGCTAAAAGTTGGAAACAGCCCATCTGCCTATCAATTGGAAACTGGATAAAGATGTGGTTTTTCTATAAAATGGAATAGTACTCAGACATAAAGAATGAGAAAGTAGATTCATTCATAGTTAAATGGGTACATTTTGAGGATATACTTCTAAGTGAAATAAATAAGGCACACATATGCAAATACCTAATAGTTTCTCTGGTGTGAAAAACTAAAATAGTACTGAAGATCCTAATGGGACAATTAGCAAATAGGAAGAAAAGGACCAAAGGTGTGGGACAGTGAGAAGGATAGGGAACCGGGAATAAGGGAAAAGGAAAAAAAATATGAGAAAAGGTAAAAATGGAATTAAAGTGTTTGAAGGGGGGAAGGGCGGGGAGGGTGAAGGGAGGGTGGGGACAAGGGGAAAAAATGAGAACCAAGACCTGTCATGTAAAGGTACAAGATCCCAATAATGAATGCAACTGTACTGTACACCTAAAATGTACCAATAAACTCAATGAGGAAAAAAAAAGTATATCCTAAAAGTTTAATTATGTTGAGAAAATCGTTAACACCTGATTTAGATATGATCTCAGAAGTCTGAGCTGAATTTAAGAAGAGATTTTCTTGACAGAGAATCTTGGGAGAGATGGACTGACTATATTTAACATTTGAGATGAATATAAATGTTTGAGGAACATAGGGCTGACCAAAGTAGACAGGATGTTACTTAAATAAATATGCACATATTTTGGCCCTAGATCTTAAAAATATGAGCTACTGCAAAACAAATTCTACACACATAATTAAGGTAAAGACCTAAATTTGGGAGATAACCCTGGAATGGTTAAACAGGCCCTACCTAATCACAGGAGCCCACAGAATATTTTACTGTCTAGAGTCAAGATCTCATGGAAAGGAAGGTCAAAAAGAGTCAAGGTATGAGAGAAAATCCTTTCATTGTTGCTACAGGGAACTACATATAAAGCATAATCATGCATGTAGCCCTCCCTCTAAGCAAAACAAACAAAGAAACAAAAAACATCACTTGGCTAAGGAAGTTAAAGTACAACCAAAGAGGATCTACCTTATAGCAACAAAGAATTGACAAAAAAAAAAAAAAACACACAAAGATTCTTAAATGTCCTTGGCTCCTTCAAAAGCCCCCTGAAACAGACACCTTGATTTTGACCCTACACCAAGAACTAATTAAGCCACAGCTCTTACATTTCTAACTTACAGAATTCTAAGACAAATTTCCTTATCTTAGGTCACTAAATTGTAGAAATACAGGCAAGATGAAAATAATACATTTTGAGAACAATTCCAAAGTGTTATTTTAAGAACTTACTTAGCATATAACTGAGAAAAGTAGAAAACTGCAGATAACAGTAAGACTTTGTGTAACATTGCTTGAGTTGACTATAGAATGGAAGGATAATAAGATAATCTAAGTGTGAATCAGTATCAGATCTCACAAATGAACCTTTTGATAACTTCAAATTTGGTAGACAAGAACAACTCAAGAAACTGTTATACCTATTCCATCAAAAAATGAATTTGGTTCTTGTGGCTGCAGTTCAAATTCATCTTCATCCATGGCTTTTAAATGCTCATTAATCACAGCTCCTGAATCAAAGAAAAAGTACACGAAACATTAAATTTAATATCACACATTAAAACATCATTACATTTACATTTCTGATTGCCCTTAGGAACTGATTAGCAATATGTGGGTAATTACATTACAAGAAAAGGAACCTAAAACTCTGCAGTATTTTAATGTTATAAAATATAAAGGCACAAATGTTGGTATTTAATATTTTGATATTTGACATTTATGTTAATTTTTATATATTACCAACTTGAATTTGAGTTACTTAGCAGATACTCAATCTTCCCTCCAACTAGCAACATTAGTGATTAAGACTCACATTTAAGTAGTTAAGGGTATTTCTGTAAGATTTTATAACATCTGTAGACAATATAATCCGAACTCTGGCTGTCACTGAATTACAAAATGGTAAAGATTCACAATTCTTAATAATCATAAGTACTTGAGATTTCTGTGTAACTAAGTGTACCTGTGTGACTGTATCTTTTTTATTTTCTAGGAAATAACAAAATATGCAACAGATACATACAGGCAAAATAAACATATATGAGCATATGAGTGCACATGTATCCACACATACACACAAGTATACACAGTCCTATTTTATAAGATCTGGAAATGAGTTAAGGCATAAGAAACACAAACTAACAATAAAAAGGAGATTTTTTTAAAAAGTGGAAATTTTAAGGGTGTACTTAAGACTTCAAGACATCTTTTTTTCCTTGTTTCTGGGGCCTCCTCAGCTTATAACACCCTTCTCAATCTTCATAAAACATAGTGTCAAATTCCTAAATTCTGGCACTGTGTCTTTACTTTTCACCTGTAAATTCCACCTGCTAACTGCCGTTTCTTCATCCCTAAAAGCACCTGAAATTGTGGCATCTTGTTTCAGCTTCACAGGTAGACAGCATACACTGTAAAGTGACAATGAGAATATATATCATTGCTCACCTGTCAAAAGACTGTCCTTTTTAATGTCCTTTACTCCAGCTTAAAACATGTTTTCATTTCTTTGAGCACCCACACTACTAAAATGAGCCTTCTATTTCTAATATATTTTTGACTAATGCCTCCTAAAAATTCTTCTTTCTGCCACCACAGTCAGCACTTTATTTGAATAGGGTACAATAGGATCTTTATTTCGGCCTCAGAGGCCATAGACCCAAGCCAATGACAGAACCACAAGCAAAAGCCATTCTTTTCTCTTCGTGGTTGAAACTATAAAAAAATGAATGTGAGAAGACTAGTGCAAGAAACAGCCAGTTTACAAAGAAATGATACATGATGGTACATTCCTATAATCCCAGCACTTGGGAGGCTGAGGCAGGAGGATTGCTGTGAGTTTGAGACCAGCCTGGACTACACAGTGAGTTCCACGTTAGTCTCAACAACATAGAGAGACCCTCTCAACAAAACAAAACAAAACAAAACCCATACAAAGAAAAGAGAGAAAGACAAAGAATGTTGGATATCTGACTATTAATTCTAGTTTTGTCAACACTACTAGATTAAAAAATGCCCAGTGATTAGTACAGCACATTCCTAGGTGTTCCTGTGTGGATCATGAAAGACTTACATGGGCCATTAAAATATGTAGTCACCAGGACATGCCTCTATGAACTTTTTAACCTTCTTTGCTTTTCAGCTGCCATGAACTAATAGCTTTGCTCTACTCTGCTCTTTTGGAGTTATTCCAGGAAGAAATTAATAGGCAGCCATAGATACATGAGGAATCAGTGCATAACATGAGGACACAACAGAAATGTGGGTGCAGAGGCCCATCTGAAGAAAGAAAGGCCTTGAGATTAAAGCCACAATGGCCAGATTTGCATACTTCTCCCTAAGGGATGAATGGAAACTTTAAATTATAATGTAATTGGTAGCATACAGTTCATTAGGTCAAATATATGCCAGAACACCCGGGCTGATTCCTTCCCAAAAATGTTCCCATTTTCAAAGTTATGGATAAGCCAAGGTTAATGATGTCAGCAATATACCCTTGCTATGTGCCTTGCCTCCCTATTTGATTAAAGCAGACTAAGTAACTGTAATTATAATCTTTTTGGTTCATTATAGTTTGATCCACACTCTGACTATATAAATTACTCCTGACAAAGGGCCTCTGTGGCAATCCACTTAGAATCATTTCTGTGTCTCAGGAGTTATTTGTATTTCCCAAGAAACCTTATCCTATTCTTAATCCCATTTGTCCTTTTGGAATTCATTCTTCAATTTCACAGGACATGAAAGCTGCACGTCTAATATCTAGCAGGTTCAGAGTTCTACTTCTCTTGTATCACCATAATGTATCTTCTTGGCTGAATTTCCTTAAAATCTAAACCAAAATAAGTTTCTCTTAAGTTTTAGGTGATGGTTAGTTTTGTCCCAGCAATGGAAAAATAACACAGAAAATCAAAAGTAAAAAAGAAAGCAGAGCCAGGGATTTAGGTCAGTGCAAGATCCAAAGTTTGATCGCTGTTACTAAAAAAAAAAAAAAAAAAAAAAAAAAAA